ATATAAGTATACCCAAATATCGAATTTAAAGTATGTACATATGACAAAATGGTTTTTTCTAATATAAAATTCCAAATTCACTTAAATTCCGTTTCCACCTACAACATATATATATATATATAGTATAGAATAGATATAGAAGTATAATCAGACATTGAATGGTGCTTAAAAAACTTGAGCCTGGAAACTATGTTTAAAACAGTATATATATATATAGTTATATATACCGTATATGTATTTGTGAATGACTAATGACCAAAAATTTACGCGTTCTTGCGAAAAAGAAAAACGAGATATGTAAGATATTGTCAATGTTATTTATTTTGCATGTTATACATGCATGAAAAAAAAAGAAACTAAATTCAAAGAAAAAATTAACAATTTATCATTTATATCTAAAGTTTGTAAAGCGAACAAGATTCGTCGTTTTGGCGAAACACAACATATTTGAAAACTTTATTGTGAAGCTAATGCAAATTGGCCATAACTCGATAAGAAAGAGAGGATTGGAAATAAAGAACTCGAATTTTAATTAAATTATTTTTTTAATTTTTAATTATTTTTTTTTTGGAAATTCGATCTTCGTATAACAAATAGAGAAATCAAAAATTATATACATTTCTAAAAGACCAGCCAATAACTTTGTGAAAGAGTTATTGATGGTCTGTATAGTTATTTGTGATAATGTCCTTTTAAAATAATTATTAGAATACCAAAGACAAACACAACATTTTATAATAAAATAAAAGGGGATTGGTAATGATAGGTTCATAAATCGGCTAAATCGTTGAAATCAAAGCTTGGCTATACGAGTTACCATCTTCATAAATATGGGTCTCTGCACCCTGAGCGCGTTTCCGATATTTAGAATATTTAGAAGCGCAAGGATCTTCATAATAATGACGTTTAGAAGGAGCAGTGGAATTGGAGGAGTCGGAGCTAGGAGGCTTGGAAGTGATAGCATTTAAGATACCAGTATTGTCACAGTTAAGATTAACGCCATCAAGTTTGGCCTTAAACGGAGAAGTACCATCGTTAACAAACATAACATTTAGTTCAGAAGTCATATTATGAAGAATCTCTCCGCAGTCATTGGTGATTAGGAAATCATATTTGTGACCTTGTTTAAAACCACTCTTGAAAAGACCGACGGCGGTAGTGTCACCACATACATCCTGATAGTAAACGATGATGCCATTAACTGTGTCATTAAATACAGAAGTGGCAACAGTACATTCACATTTTTTATGTCTTGCCTCCAAAGGAGAACGTTTGGAGTTGCATGATTTCTCTGCCCGTACTACCAATGAGCCTTCAAATGTGACCAAGACAACAGTAATGAAAATAAGAAGGAACAAAATGAACAAAGATGTAAATTTCTTTATCATATTAATGTGTAAAAGACAAGACTATTTACAATAAAATAAAAAAGGACAATATAAAATGACAAATTATCGAAAAAAAATCGAAAAAAAATAGATCGATAATGAAAAGAGTTTGTTTGAAGTAGATAACACTCTTTATATCCCTTTTTCAGACATTATATTTTTTTAGAATCTTACTATTTACAGAGATCATACAATAGTTATATATGTATAACTTATATGCAATGATATATACATCTATGGAGCTTTTCAAAATACGATATAAAAAATTTCTACTGTAAAAAAATTTTTTTTTTTTTTGTATAAAATAGAAAATATTTTTTATTTTAAAGAACCCGGATGATTATCATTCAGATCATTGTATATTGGAATTCCTTGTTTGAGTCTCGTTTGTTGACCTTTGAGTATTATTTACGATTTTAGATAGATATTAATAGATATTAATAGATATGATAACTTAAATCTTATTTTAAGCCATCCGCGAGCATAACAGCCTGATCTTTCATTCCATCATAAGATTTTTATTTTTCAGCGTCCTGCGGGACTACCAAATTATAAAAATCGGGAGACGTAGAAAGAAGACTTTTAACCTAATTTTCCAAAGAAAAACAATCAAAATGGCATAGATTCATGGCGATGCCACAATGCATTCGCAATAAGATTTCTGCAGGCAAGATTGTTTGGTTCACGAAATTCATTTTAAACGATCGGGATATAACGATAATTGCAACACGACGGAAACCTTATCTGGAAAATTTGTTTATGTATCGCGTGCATAAAATTGGTGTAAATATTAAAGTTTATCTTTGGATATTGCATTTTTGATAAATGAATAATTGTATTTAGATACTCTAAATATTATCCATGTTTAGACTTACGCATGCTTGAACATGGACGGAAAAATCCAAATGTTTTGAACACCAAAAACATACAACTCTATATAATTACATAATTGTATATCCAGTATAACCGGGTACGAACATGAATTCAAATATTTTGTACCGGATATTTTGGATCAGGATCTCACAAAGAGTGTCGGTTCCGTGATCTCTAAGCCATTCGGGCTTAAATTAGAACTACTTTATAAATAACGTCTCTGGCTTAGGCAGTGTTGGAAATCTGAATTGGGTTTAATGTTCTCAAGCAATTTTTTTCTATATGTTTATTAATAAAAAGTTAGAAAAATGATGTTCTCAGAGAACATTTAGAACATCAGATTTCCAACACTGGGCTTAGGGGATGCAGAACCGATACTTTTTATGACATAGGCTAAGCTTCATGAAAGCCACTGGTAAAAGCACAAGCCTAGTGTTCAACAAATAACGTCATTTTGAAATCGTAAACTTATACGGAACTTTTTATATAATTATTATCGAAATTATCGAAAAACATCCATATCGTCATAAAAATATGAATCAAATGCAAAGACTAGTCTTTTTGTGCGATGGCAACAATTACGAGTTTTCTTAGTGTTGAATGATTCATTCCATATCTGATATTGGATTATCCTATTAAATGATCACAATAAAAAGCAATCGATGTTGACTCAAAATTTTGCAGGTTGGGTATATGGCTCTTTCTTTAATACCCGTTTGTTCTAACTAAAATGAATAGCTTATATATAGTAATTATTTGTCCATTTTAGTATTCCCATTTATCCATTGTCAATTATATATCAGAAATCTAATAGTTTGTTGGTTAAAATAGACTAATGGGGTTTCGGAGTTAACTGATTTTGAGAATAAGTGGGAGTTCGAAAAGTCCTATTTTTGGTTTGAAAGTTCGAAATCAGGAGATAAAAATAAAAATAAATAGGATTTATAGATCGCTGATTACAAAATTAATACGTTGTTACCAAAAAATTTTTTTTCTTAATATTTACGATCTTCTTGCTCGTTTAGCCAATTAGATTGATCGGACTACTTTTCTTTACATTATTTATTTATTATATTTATCATTTCTATATCATTATCTATTGTTGGCCATATTTATATTTTGTGTCCCCCAAGGCCTTTAATTATTATCAAAAATCTGTCGTTTAACAAAGTGTTCCATGGTATATTTGACGATTCCTATGATAGTTCACCTGTGATTACTTCCCGATTTGGAATGATAGTTACGAGGAAAGACGCGTGTGGTTAAATAAATTATTTGGTCGGTCAAGATTTTGTTTAGCTATTCATCATTGAGGTATTGTTTAAAGATGGAAAGATGGAAGGTGATGGAAGTTTTTCAATGAGCAAAGGATAGTTTTATTTACAATGCTCAATGATTGGGATAGCTCAAAGGTTAGAAAAAGGGAATTCATAGTTCTTTTCAACGATGGTTGATTGTAAGCAAGAGATTTAGATTTTGTTATCACGCCAAGTTTAGTTGCTGCGTGAAGAATTCCGCATGTATTTAAACCCTGACGTTTCACCTTAATAAAGATTTCTCAGACTTCGATCCGCATTAAGTAAAATTTTCTCTCATATAAGTTAGTAGGCAATTCAAAGCCGAAGGCAACTTCTTCTTGTTTCATCGAATTCTCACGCTTCTGAATTAATTATCACTTCTTTATTAAATATCATATTGCATACATCAATCGATCTATTTAAGACCCGATTCATTGCTAATCGCTACATTGTTAATATTTCTATATACGAACTTATAATCTGTACGCCAGATTTCTTAACTATATTATTATTATCACACATCATTAACTCTAAAACTACCTTAACAGGTCCAATCCGTACTTACTCGATATCCCTTCGAAACCATTATATTCCTGACCTATATCGTTTGCTGACCTGTTTTAAACCGGCACATTAATTATAACCGCCGATAGTAACAACGTCACTAATTTAATTCGAAATCAGAAACCTGAACCTTAGGTCTGAAATTGATAATCGAATAATTGATAAATTATTCAGATTCACTTGACAATTACAAGTTCTAAGTAATATAAAATTGGAGAAATTTATCCGAGTGAAAATAGAATTTCTCTAATTTATATTTTTAATTACCTTAGCGTTAGAGCTTGTAATCCCTAATACATCAGATAATTCGGTTGAATTCGTTTGGATATCCCGGTTTAATGAGATGAATATCCGGATATAGCATGTCGGATAAATGAATGGCGGATTAATCCGGATTGGAACTCTAAGCTTTATATATTATAATGCGAATGTATATTTTCGTATAATTCTTTGAATAAGTTTTTGATTTTAATAACTTTTAGAATAGCGAATTGTCGAATTTTCTCGATTAATATGTTCTAATATTCATTCAAGAGATCCACAAGCCAAAAAGTAAGGATTATAAAACTAAAAAATTTTTGAAGATATTTAAAGAGTAACCTTTTTTGCTTTATACATAAGATACATCATTCATTAAAGCTCGCTTTATTAATATCGATATAGTTTATAGCGGTGAAAATTTAACGAACTAAATATATTATTACTTAAGTAAATACTTAATAGCTTACTTTAAATACACAAATAAGTAATCTTAGTAATCTTACACACCTACAAATTAACGTGAATAAGATAAATATGAGATTAATTTATATACTACATCAGGCTTTTTGCTTACCCACAAATGAGTTTATGCTTACTATGCCTTAAATATTAAGACCAAACCTTTCAGTAAAAAGAAAGAAGATTTTGAATCACAGGTACAATACTTACTAATTTAACGCGAATCAATAAGCCTATATGAGATATTATGTATATGCCAGTAAATACTCGTGGTATACTATAAGAAACAATAATTAAAAGATCCGGGTATAAAGAACAAATATATTAAAAGACCCGTGCATGATATTAGAACATATAATGCATATTTATTATAATTTATATCAAAGTACTTCAATGTCGTATTTATTATTGAAGCCTAATATTTTTTAAAAAAAAAATTTTATTTAAACTCTCGCACAAACTATAACGATATAGATATAAGACAGATAAAATAAATTACTGTACATCGATATATATACGTATAATATCTGTCAATTGACCGAAATTATCAGCCTAAACAAATTAATTTAGGCAGGGCGTTTAGTTAAATTTTGGTAAATTAACATCTGGGCCATCCCAATTGACAATTGGGATAAATTTAGCTTTGGGGCACAACAGATATATATATATATATATAAACTATATTATACATCGATATAAAAAAAAAAAGAAAAGTTACATCACTTTTTTTAAGTTTATCCCTTACTCCGTTTTGCAGGCAAATTTGCAGTGTTCCGAATTGAGCCAGCTCGATTAGGCTTATTCTATACCCCCATTGGCTTATTTAAGACTTATTTGATTTATAAGCCATATAACATATGATATGTTCAAGAATATCATATAAA